ATTGAGACGGTGCGCCGCGACGGCTGCCCTGCTGTTTCCAAGGTAACAGGCAAACCATGTTTTCCCCTCATTTTCACTGTGTTGTGCACCAATCCCAGGCATGCCACTCTTGTTCCTGCTCCCGTTTACTCAGACCGCTTTGCATGTGTCAGTCAGGGAAAAGGTCGTCTCCTTCCGCTTGCACATTAAACAGCATCAACACCTCTCTTAGATTACCAGTAAATCATTTTATCTTCATCCTCTTATACCTGTGTTCTTTTACTCATGTGCTCCTTAGATTCTGGAGCGTTCCATCAAGCTGCTGTTTGAGACACGTGACATTAGCCAGGTGAAGCAGTTTGTGCAGCGTCAGTGTATGAAGATTCTGGATGGCCGGGCAAGCATGCAGGATCTGACCTTCGCCAAGGAGTACCGGGGCAGCGGCTCGTACAGACCTGGAGCTTGCATCCCTGCGCTGGAACTCACCAGGTGTGTGTGTGTGTGTGTGTGTGTGTGTGTGTGTGTGTGGTCACAGTACAGGAGAAGTCAGGAGTGTGGCTTGGATAAATGTTTGCTGGTTGGCTCTGTGTGTGTCTGTGTGTGCGTGCAGCAGAGAACAGGATGGTGAGTAAGAGCTTGCTGTCAGCTACAGTTACAGTACCCAGCGTGAATCCAATTAGTCCTCCCTCACTGTGTTCATTGTCTGGCTGCACTAGCCTGTACAGTACCTGAGTGTTGCTAGGCAACCTGTTTTTTAACGAGTGGAGGACAAAAAAAAAAGTGATTTTTAGATGCACAAGGAAGAAGCATTTATGAGCCCTGCTTCAGTTCATCTGCTTTATTTTGTGTTTTCTCTCTCAGAGCACCAGCACACGTTCTCGCTGCTAATGTGAACATGTTGGCTGTGTGATGTAAACAATAACTGCATCATCTGCTGTCACTTCATTTTTGTTCTGCTTCGCCTCAGACGGATGATGGCCTATGACCGAAGGCTGGAGCCACGCGTGAGTGAGCGGGTGCCCTATGTCATTGTGTACGGCACACCCGGCGTGCCCCTCATCCAGCTGGTCCGCCGGCCCACCGAGGTGCTGCAGGACCCCACCCTGCGCCTCAATGCCACCTACTACATCACTAAGCAGATCCTGCCGCCACTGGCCCGTATGTTCCAGCTGATCGGAGTCGACGTGTTCAGCTGGTACCAGGAGCTCCCCAGGGTGAGGACAACTTGCAGACATACGGGCCATTGTGATGTTTTTGTCTCACCACTGCCATTTAGAAGCAGAGCAGCAGCAGTGGAGATAATAAACCCTTCAAAACAAAACAAAAAAGAACCAGGAACATCATAAAGACACACAATCAACTTAATACTGAGTTTGGAGGATGAATTAGATTAATTGGTATCTTCCTTTGACTGACTGTGGCAAGTCAAAGAGGTCACCCTAGAGAGAACAAAGGATGAAGAGAGATCTCTTCTGCTTCCTGCTGATGACTAAATGAGTCAAGCTGCAGCGCTGCTGCCTCAGTCTTTGTTTCTTTCCTGAAGTCTGACAGAGTGCACACGCCATCTGCTGGCATAGCTACTAATCACAGTCAGATACATAAATGGTTGCTGCTCCAGTGCCACTGACTCCTTTTATGTGTTCGTTTTTTCCCAGTGAAAACAGAGTCACACACAAAATCCTGAATGTGTGTATTTGTATTAAAAAAATTGAATCTTTGATCTCTGATCCTTCAGCATCTAATGATATTCGGTAGGATTCTTAACAAACCTGAAAAGTATCATGATCACGTAGTTCACACTGTTTTATGTCCATGAAGATGCTGTGCATGTTAACTCCATGTGTCTGCATATAGTCCAGCAGCAGTGATCAATCAAACGTGTGTTTTCAGCTACATCGCTCTTTTCTCTCCAGATCCAGAAGGCATCCTGCTCCTCTGTGGTGGGTGGGGAGGAAGCGGGGAGGAAGGGGACAATTTCCCAGTACTTCACCACGCTTCACTGCCCTGTGTGTGATGAGCTGACCCAGCTGGGTGTGTGCTCACGGTGTCGTGCTGAACCTCAGCGAGTCGCTGTTACACTCTACCAGGACATGAGGCAGTGGGAGAGTCAGCAAGAGCAGTTGCTGAAGGTGAGAAGTTGAGGACGCACAGAATATGAGCTCCTGTTAAGGTTTTGAATAATAATTGGACCATTAACTTCTGTGATTACAGGTATTTATTTCTTCCTGCTTTTGTCGCACTGTCTTTAAACATTTACCCAATTGATACGACTCAAAGCAGGCGACACTGAAGGAACACGGAAACTGCTTTCTGGCGATAAATCTAGATTTATTAAGACAGCAATTGACGTCAGCAGTAATGATGCCTGGTGGCAGCAATCACTCGGGTTGAGTTGGTGTGCAGTTTTGCTTAAACAATGTCGGACTCCACAGTTTTTCTCTGGTCAGACTAGTAGTGACATGTTTGTGAGTGGTGTCCATACCAGAGCTCATCCTTGTGTGATCACTGTGTGCTTGTGTCTCTGTTTGCATACAGATCTGTAGGAACTGCAGTGGCAGTGCTGAGCGGCAGGTTCCCTGCGTGTCCCTCGACTGTCTCGTCCTCTACAAGCTGTCCCGGGTAAACAGACAACTTTCCAAGGCCCCCTACCTCCGTCAGCTGCTGGAGCAGTTCTGATTGGCTCCCGAGTCCCGGAGCCACCCACTGATTTGGTGCTAATTCCTGGCCTTCCATCTTAGTGTTTGTCCATTTGGTTGTAAAAGTTTAAATGGTGCTTTGATTGAGCCCTGACGGGTTTTCTCATTTTGTCTCAAAGTATTTCTCTGAGTATGGAGACTGTTTACGTCATGCCTCCAGTGGAAGAGGCCGTGTGTTCGTTTGCTGCCATCTCCATTAGCTGCTATGGGCCGAATGAAGCTGATCTTTTTGATGACACGGCAACAGACGGCCTGTTGCGGGACTGAGTGCAGTCCAATCATGGAACATGTGTCGTATTGTGTATTCACTGTAACTGGTTTTTAAAGATCTTATAAATTCAGAGACGAACTACACCCAAACCACTAATTGACTTTTTCTCCTTTTTATACTGACTGCAGTCTTTTTGTAAATAGTTCCTGTACAGATCCATCTCCAATCTCACTGTGCATTAACCAACTACAGCTCCAACCGTGAACACAATCAAAGCAGTTTGATGCGTTCTTTTTGAAGGTGCCATTTTTCTGTTTCTTTAACCTTGTCTGTTTTGGCAGATTTGACAGTTCATACTACAGAGTATGGGAACTGGAAAGCTCTCCATTTTTTTAGTTTTAAATGTGGGACTGCTGCAATACTGTATTTGGTAATTTATGCCATGAAGAGTCTATTATTTCCTTGTGGATATATGGTTTTGTGTACGTTTCCAATTTTACTGTGCGAACCGTCTTCAAACTACATTACAATTTGATCTTTAACCCTCCCACTCCATGCAGCCGTACACAGGATCTGTGGATTTGTAAAAATGTAAAAACTTATAATGAAGGAGATCCTTTTTGTTTGTTTTTAATGGACATTGCTGTGGGTGAAGGTTTGAGATTGATATAATAAAATAAAAAAAATCAATGTATGAAGATGCCTTCTTTCTTTCACTAAATCAGGAGCTTAAAAAGAAAAAATCAGAGGAATCACAGTGACATGACCCATTACAGCACAAGACCAAAAAGAAAAAAAAAAATCCAGTTTTCACAAAAGTGCAACAGAAAACAGCTGCATACACTGTACAGCTCAGCTCATCACACACACACTAGATTGCCAAAAGTCTTTACTCGTCTGCCTTCACACACACATATGAGCTTGAGTGACATTCCATGTTTAGCTATAACAGCTTCAACTTTTCTGGAAGGCTTTCTACGAGGTTTAGAAGTGTTCTTCCAGAAGTGCATTTGTGAGGTCAGACACCAATGTTGGGATGCTCTAATTCATCCCAAAGGTGTTCTGTCAGGCTGAGGTGTAGGACTCTGTGCAGGCCAGTCCAGTTTTTCCACACCAAACTTCCTCGTCCATGTCTTTAGAAACAGTTGTGCTGGAATAGGAAAGGGCCATCCCCAAATTGCTCCCACAAAGTTGGAAGCATGAAATTGTCTCGGTGTGCTGAATTATCAAGAGTCCCTTTCTCTGGAACTAAGGGAGCAAGCCCAAGCCCATTAAAAAAAATTTACACTTAGGCCCCCAAGTACTGTTCTAGCAGCTGCAACTCGAACTCCTCCATCAGATTGCCAGATGTAGACATGATTCGTCATTGCAGAGAACACCTCTCCACTTCTCTAGAGTTCAGTGGCATCATATGCAGTTTGCACCACTGCATATGATGCTTTGCATTGCACTTTGCAATTCTGTAACCTTCTGTACTCTGTTCTTGAGCTAATCTGAAGGCCACATGAAGTTTAGAAGTCTGCAGTGATTGACTGCACAAAGTTGCTGACCCCAGTCTGTTATTTTATGTGGCTGAGCTGCTGTCAATCGCAATCACTTTCATTTTGTGGAACATTTAATGGTGACAGAATTTCCTGACTGGACTTTGCACAGGTGGCATCTTATCACAGTACCATATTCGAAGTCACTGAGCTCCTGAGAGCAAGCCCTTCTCTCACAAATGTTTATAAAAGCAGTCTGCATGCCTAGGAGCTTGATTTTATATACCTGTGGTCATGAAAGTGATTGGAACACCTGAATGTAATGATTTAGAAGGGTGAGTGAATACTTTTGGCAATATAGTGTATTTGCAGTGCAAGATTTTATTTTAAGGGGGTGGCTAGCTGTCTGTCCCTGGTTCAGCTCATCCACTCTCCTCACGTCCTCAAACAAGGCACTGAATTCTAGCGATGCATCAATCCATGTTTGTCTAGCTCCAATGTGATACCAGTAACTCAAAGACAGAAGCTGACAGAGAAGTCTTAGCTGTAGTCAAAAAACACTGCAAACATAAAAACATTCAAAATGTAAGAAGTATAACAACTTGTTGTCCCTTGGCTTTTGGCTTCATGTTATGTTACCAAAATGTTAGCTCGCCCGTTTGTAATCAGTGCTCTACTGCTGATGGAAGGCATAGTAAACACAGAACATAGAATTGAACTGAATAGATTGACCTGTTGCCAACGATCCCAGTGAAGTTTGTTGAGTCAGGATCAGGCTGATATCTGATCTATTTCTTACTTTCATTCTAGCCTTACCTTTTACCTAACTACAGAGGGGATAAGGACACAACAATATTAAACACAGTGTCAAATGATTTATAAGAAAATAGCAATACTTCAACATCTGATCCTTCACTGTCCAGCAGATGTCCAAAAGCTTTAAAAGATGCACTGAGTTGAGCTGTGGAAGCGTGTGTATGATTTATAAGCTGCACTGCTTAGTTGGTGCTTCCTTTACTAGAGTACAAACAGTAACTATGTTGGAGTTTCCAGGTCTTGGACAGCAAATGGACAGTTGAGGCGTGTCACTGAGCCAACATTCTCAGTCTCCCTTCTCTTGGTCCAAAGAGAGCAGCAGGTTCTGTCTTGGTGAGTGTCCTACCAAAGAGATGCTCTCTGAGGAAGTGGCGCCTGCAGGCTCTGACACCAGTGTGGTTTGGGCAGTGGGGCTGTCTGTTAGAGCCATGACATCAGGGGGAGAGGACATCTTGCTTGGTGAATTCATAAAATTTGATGTATCGTCCATTTCAATGACCTCAAAGTCTGTGTCGTTCAACTGATCGGCCTCATTATCCTGCTCTTCCTCATCCTCATCTTCATCAGCTCCTGAGTCCAGCAGTGCCCGTTGGGATTCACTGCTTTCAATTTCATCATTCGCCGAGGCCAGCTTGTACATGACTGGAAAGAGGATGGAGGTGAAGATGGCAGTGACGAGTGACAGGTACATGAGCAGCGGGTGCTTTGGAAACCTCTCGAGCAGGAAGCCTATGAGTGCTGGCAGCACCATCTCGCCCAGCGCTGCACCCACCACGAAAACTGCCGCTGTGCGCCCCGTTACTGTGGTGTACTGCTCCACCCACGAGATGCCGCTTGGGAAAATGGCAGCCATGGAAGCCCCATAGATAGCAGTGCACACCCACAGGACCTCCTCTTTCTTGTTGAAGAAGCAGAGCAGAAGAGAGGAGATAGCGGTGCCCAACAGGCTGAGCAGGATCATGTTTCCCGGGTACATGCAGGCTGCAAAGAAGATGGCTAACCCACGGCACGCTGCAAATGACCCCCAGAACAGGGAGTTTAGCCCAGCTGCCTTCGCCTCAGCCATGTGGATGTACTCCTTAGCAAAGGTAAAGATGAAGGAGCCATATGCTACTTCAGCACCGACGTAGGCAAAGAAGAAGAGGAAAAGGAGGGCTGTAAGAGCCACATGATATTTGGCCACCAGGGGCTTTCCTGAGGCCGAGCGGGGTTTTGCACGTGACACGCTGCAGCGAGAATAAAGGATGAAGAAGAGGAAGGACATGAGAAAGACAAAAGCACCGATCACGATGTAGGCCCAGGTGGAGTTGAGGGTGCTGTGCGAGACTCCCTGAGTGTTGACGGTTTTGGTCACCTGGGGCTCTGTGGAAGGCGTACTCTTGGTTGGTGCTATGGCCTCAGTGCCCTTCCAGTCAGTCCCAAACACCAGCTTGGCTATGATAGGAGACACAAAGGCCCCAGCGGCAAAACTGAAGTGCAGCGCTTGCAAGTGAGGCCCCGACTGCTCACCCCACGTGTCCAGTATGAGCACGTTACCACCTGACACAGGAGAAACACATAGTTAAGAATGGAGACACAAGCATCACTTTGCTTTGGCTAAACTAGAAAAAAAAAAAGATTAACAGAAGAATCACAATCAGACAAAACAAGGAATGACTCCAAATAACTCCATCGGCAAGTTTCCATTCTTATGATGTTAAGAATAAGCTACCACTGTTAGCAAAAGCAGATGAAGGATTATTCTACAGGCCTAATACCACGTGGTGCACTAACTACATGCAAGATTTACAAGATTTCAAAACAGTTTGTAAATGTCTATGTAAGGTCTTTATAGGTCAATTTGCAGGAAGGAAACATAATTCACTATGAATTCATTTCACTTCTTCTGGTGCACATCAAAGTGAAAAGAGGTGCACTGAAGAAGCAACAACCAGACAACACCCCGAAAAGGAAATGTTTGCTGTGTGTGCCAGCACAGTGTCAAGAGTATAGAGGAGAGGAGACGTTACACAAGCAGAGTTGAAAGGGGCCTTCGAAGAGCATTAACCCAACAGCAGGACAAGTATCTGTTCGTTTTTTGAGAGGAGGATCAGGAGAAGCACTGCCAGAGTGCTACAAATTACCTTCGGCATGCTACTTGTGCATGTTTCTGAACAACCTTTTGGAAACAAACTCTATGAGGGCCCACTGTCCCTCAGTGAGACCTTTGTTCTTACAGCTGAACCACAGAACTAGCAGGTCTGCCACTGGTGCCCTGTTCTCTCCACGGTTTCACTTTCATTCAATTTTATTTACGTATGCACCAATACACAGCAACAGACAACTCAAAGCACATTGTATTTTAGGGTAAAGAGCCTACAACGTTAGAGATAAAACCTCACAATGAGACAACATTAATGACAAAGCACTTGGGAACAGTCGGAAGGAAAAACTGGCCACCAGTTAGGGATGAACAGAGGGAGACAGGAAAGGCACGCTGTGGACGAGTTGGTAATGTGGTTTGAAGCTTTAAATCTAAAGTGGTGGATAAACACATGTAGAGTGAAAAGAATCAAGTTGAGAATAAATGCTCAGTATATGAGATGAGATGAGATAGCCTTTATTTGGTCTTTTGCCCACAACCGAGATGACAGACCTTGCCGACCGTACATACAATACACAAACATCACATTGGGGAGACAGGTCAGGCTAGGTAGCGAGGAAAAAAACATCGAAATGTGTAACACAAAAGGATAATACAGATATCAACACACCATAGCAAAATAAACACAGAAAAGCAACAAGGGTGTCAATAGCATTCAGAGACCAGTTGATCAAATCCATAATTCTCTTTAGGTTTTAGAAACAGACTGTGAGAGAGTGTTCCAGGGAAAGTAATACAAAAAACACGAGACTAGACAAGGACATAAGAACTAAGCAGGGGAGATAAGGGAGATAAGGGAGAGGAGAAAAAGTGTGTCCGCCTCCTCCGAGAGCCAAAAGGAATGTCATATCATATCATGGGAAGTTCCCAGCAGCCCATGTCTATTGCACTGAATTACTCATACCATCTCCCTCAATGTTACAAACAGGACTCCACTACTGTTTATTCACTCTGCTGCAGCTAAGCCATGCCCTCATTTAAACATGCATCACCACAGCAGGCGAGAGAATGACGAGAGGAAGAGGTAAAAACAGCCACTTGTGGCTCTGAGCCCTGCACAAACTCATCAGCTGAGGCTGACCGTTAAAATCATTGAACTTTCACTGATACAGTGAATATCAATAGTTTACTTACCTGTATCTATAACACCCATGGATATCCCAATGCTGGACATGAACACAGTGAGGAGCAGAGCCTGCTTACAGTAAGGGATGGCACACATTCCAGAAGCCGTGAGCAGCATGGACAAACCTAGAAGATTACCACAGGAGGCAAAATCGATCTCATAAAATGACTGTAAAGGCCGGCCGGCAAGAACAACAAGCTAGAAAGGTACCTAGCAGGAGATGGGGGTTCATGCAGTCAAAGAGAATGCCTCCTAATAGGGATCCGCCGGCGTAGCCTGCAGAGCGGCCAACAAAGATGTAGGAGATGTTGCCGATATCCTGGTTCACATTTGCAGCCAAGTCTTCCAGTGTGGGGCCAAGAACTGAGATACACATCCCCTAAGAAAATAAGGCAAAGCTTAGAGCAAGCCACGACTGCAGGACCTCTGTTGTTGTTGGACCCACTCCTCTCCCTCCATTGTCCTACTTGTCTCATCTCCTTGAGAGATCAATGACAAATGATCGCATCAGGATCTAGGAGAACTAAACTAACATTTCCAACCCTGTGCATTCTGCTCACCCCCAATGAAAACTTTACCTCCTCCTCCTGTGTTTTTGTCAGCAACAAGACACGAGGTGAAGACAGAGGTGGCAACGTATCAACACATACTGCACAAATGTTTATTTTAGGATTTCTGTTGAGAAAAATTAAGACTGAAAAATTTTTACAAATTTAAACGAATCTAAACTTTTTTTTGATCCCTGCTAATTTGCATTTAATTGTTTAACTACTATAACTGATATAATATAAACATTTAGAGAATAGTTAAGCTTATGCACAATTTGTGGACCTCAGCTCATGATTTAAGACTACACTCCCTCACATACTGTTAAACACCATGCTATAGATGAAGGTGAACTCCTGTATAACTAGACAGCACCTGGCTTTTCTAATGAAAACACAAAAACAGTTAAATGTCAGTTCTACTCGTTCACGCACCTTGACTCTCATGTATACTAGATTCATTAGTGCCAGAACTAGTCTTCCAGAGTTTACACTTTCTAAACTCCCTGGGGTGGATGAAAGCTTTACTTATTTTATATGCTAACTACTGAATCTGCTATCTGTTCTGGCAATACTACACAGTTTAGTAACCTGTCTGTCAGCTCAGATCAAAGGTTCAAAATTTGATGCAAAGGGCTGGAAAGACCACTGGCATGCTCCCTCCATTTTCCCCCAGGTGCTATCAGAGGAAACTGCAATAAAGTGTGGCCTGTAAAATTCCTAGAGATATAAATAACACGGTTTACACAAAAACCTAGAGAATATAAAGCTAATACTATCAGGTAAAAGGTACAGGGTACCAAATTGTGAGTTGTTCAAATTATATTTATATTTTCTTTAGTGCTCCCAATTTGTCAAACCATTGAATTGCTACTACTGCACATTCACCCAATGTATATACTGTATATATATATATATATTAGGGGTGCAACGATATTCGTATCGATATTGAACCGTTCGATACAGTGCTTTCGGTTCGGTACGCATATGTATCGAACAATACAAT